GTGGTTCAATGGGTGTTTTGTTGGGTGCCTCCTCGCCTGGCCAAGTGCATTTTCAATTAAGGAGAGCAAAATATTTTGTCTGCACTTTGGGCGAAGGGGCCAATAAACTGTTGAATTTACGGCAGGTTCTAATGGCTTTTCGCTCATTTATCCCTTCAGCTCGTCGGTATAACCCGAAGCAGCTCAACACTTTCAAGGAAATCCGCCTTCTCCATTCAGTTCGCACATTTTTGCAGATCCAATTGCTATTGGGGTTTTTTTTTCAAATTTTGATTGCCATAATTGTCTTTAGATTTCCGAAATGTGGAATTTTGAACGCACGATGCTGGGCTAAGTGGATTGCACTTTCATTCTCTGTAAATAGTGCTTCTTTGATTTTGAATCAAAATCATTGATTTGTTTCTCATAATAGTCTTTAAAAAAAGAATTTTGGAATACAATTAATATAACAAAAGATTCCATCAAAAAAAAAATATTTTTGGTAATAGAAACTTTATTTTTTTCTTTAATTAAAACTAATAAAATATATTTAAACTTTATTTTTATTTTAAAAACATATTTATTTTTTGGCATTTACTGCGTTCCCTACATTTTCAATGCTTTCCGAGCTCTGGGAACTTTCCGGTTTCAAGAAATCCGTTCAATCTCATCCATTTCCAAGTTGTTGCCACTTTGGAGCTTACGTTTTGGAACAAATTGAATTGCTATTAGGCACTCTGGGCCACAATTTGCAACAAGAACAACCACTGCCAGACGTCCAGGGAACAAGTGATGTGTGGCAACCGCATTAGGGCATCTTCCAGTCAGCAACGGTTTTGCCGCCTGATCCTCTGCCCTTTGCTGTTCCTCTACTGTTTCCTTTACTGTTCCCCTTTCTGCCGAGGCCGCTACTTTTTGCATTCACAGTTGGCTTGCGATGCTGGGAACTTTTGCCACTCGAGTACATTTTGTTTTTGCAGCCGATTAACATCCAACAGAGGGCAACATTCGGCTAAAAACTAAGACGTTGCAGTTTGTGGCAGGCGGATTTGCCCAGTCCACACTTATAACAAGAGAGGACGCTATAGTCGGGTTGTTGTCCCGACTATCTAATACCCGTCACTCGGCTAAAGGGAGTGCGAGGGAGATGGATATATACCATTTTTTTGATTGCATATAGCTTTTTATTGAATGGTCCGATTTGAAAAATGTCTTCTACATTTCGATAGGTATAAGTATACACAACAAATTGCATTTATACTTCTCGGAAATCTTTAAAGGTGTGGGCGCCAGACACATTTTAAAATTGTTAGTGGGCGATTGTGGGCGTTAGAGGGGGCGTGGCGCTTGGCTGAAATAAACTTTGCTGGTGGATTGTAATGATCAATAGCTAGTTTTTTTTGTCAAAGCACTTTCTACCAGTAGAAGTTATAAAAATAATTTCGGTTTTTAGACGTGTATTTTTACGAAGCCATTTATGCCAGCATTTTTGCATTTTTTCTCACTTTTATAACTTTGACGAAGTGTAGCTTCTTAACTAATGAATGGATCTCAATGCAGTGTATGAGAAAGTTGGAGGGCATTCTATTACCTCTATGAGTGAATTATGGTTGAAATCGGTAAACCACAACTCAAGTTAGAAATTAAAAAAGTGTCAAAAACGTTTTTTACACTTTAAAAAAATTGTATCCATAAAAAAAATTTTAAGTGCCATTTTCTCAGGAAGACGTATGTACCTTACCGGAAAACAAAGGTTTCATTCATGGTATATTTCATCGATTTTTTTTTTGTAAACTGGTGTAATTATTCATTTAAGATTTACATCCATAAAAAATAGGAAATGTATCAGGGAATATTTTATGTGACTTTTTACTATTTTTTTTCTTAAGTAATCTTTTTTAACATTTGCTCCTACGTTTAGAAAATTTATTACTCTTAGTAAAAACACTAAAAGCATAAAAATAAATTTATTGACTTTTATTATTTATTCATTTAGCTTTACTGAGTAGAAAATACTTGTATACCTTGAGTGCACTTGATTCTCCTCGTGCTGTTCTACATTTTCCCCCATGCAAAGCTTGCCGCACTATAATCCAACTTGAGAAATGCACAAGCCAGGCGCATATTGACTTTTCTGTTAGCCAGATTGTTTCAGTCCTGCCAGCCCAGTCCTTTCTTTGTGTCTATAACATTTGATTTTTACTATCACTTGGCATTGTTATGCGAGTTGTGTGGGCTGTGGCTCATGGGAACTCGGAAGAGATTACAATACCCATCAGCATAACAGCTCCAGAAAATTGAATTGATTTTTCCAACAATTTCCGCAGTTTTGTGGCATTAAAATTTTTACTTGCCTCATTTTTAGTTTTTAACCTACTTTACACAACCAAGTTGGCTGGCAAAAACTTAACAACAGGAAGCAGCTGATAGCAGAAAATAACGCACACACGGTATCAAACTGCTAACAAACAGTTTTGAGTTACAGCGGAAGGTGCAGGTTCAAAGCTCTGAGAGAAAGATTACGCGGGTGGGAAAATGGGACAGGGAAAATTGCAGTGGTAAAGGTGAAAGAGGTGGAAACTGCTTTGAGAGCCTGGCAAAAACTTCAACTTATGCCTGTACTTTGCACATTTTCATTATGAACATTATGCATGTGTTTGGTTAAAACTAAAATTCCAACTGGAAGGAAAAGTCAAGCCGAAGATGGAAATACGCTTTAATTTGCCAATTTTATTAAATAATTTCTATAAAACAATTTTGGAAAAACCTTTTTAAAAATATTTAAAGCTCAACTTATTACAGTTTTAAATATTTTGTCTATTAATTTAAATAAATTAATTTTTATTTTAAATATTTACTCTGTTTAAGGAGTAAGAAAATTAAATAATAATTAATTTGTAACGCTATTTAAATATGTTTTTGTCTTGAAACGATCCTTGTCGCAACGTAAGAAAATTCGAAAAGCTCCGGAAGAGTCAAGAAGATTTCCGTACTATACTGATATGCCCCTGACGGAAGAGCTTTAAGTATTTTCCCTGTGTGTGTGTCGAACATAAGTTTGGCAAAGAAAAAGAAAAGAACTTTCGGTGGGAAAATCGTACTCTTGTTGACGTGAAAGCAATTTTCTGCAGATGACAAGTTATGCAAAGTATGAGAAGAGTTCAGCTTTGAAACAAGATATGCTCTTTCTGCCCATTTTGATCTGCAAATATTTTTAGCCTTTCTTACATAGAATCTAGGTGAAACACACAAAGGATATCAATCAGTTAAATTAACTAAATAATTGTTCCAAAAAAGTGCCGTACAGCAGACAGGAGAAACTTTTTGCATGTAGAAAGGCTAAAATATTCCACACACATACACGGCGACAAAAAAAGAATTTTCAGGATGGAAGTAAAGAATTTGAAAAGTTGCCGACGTGCAATGTTACATAAATTGAAATAGTTGTGTGCCAAGCAAAACTTGCTAGAGTTGACAATTTTTAGCCTTCTTATAGTTGTGTTTTTTAGATTTAATTAAACTAAACTTACAGGCGGAAAGTTATTGTGCCATACAGATGTGTGAGTGGTACTCTACTTACTGGGCCGAAGAGTAAGCAAAAGTCATTTAAAACTTTCGTATGCCTGGTCAGCCATGACTTAGCATGCATATCTCATACTCAGGACTCGAAACCCTTTTCCTATACAAAAACTTTTTCGATATTTCAAATGCAGCGAGTGCGAGATGGAAGTGAAGGATAAGGAAAGGGGCTGTGCGGCCTGTAGACAATAACTTTGCAAAATCCAATTACGAGAGCTGAATGTGTTTGGTGTGCCTTTATTTTACTTTTCGGTAGGTTTTTCTGCAGCCTGCATATTAAATTAGCCAGCAAATTGAGTAAGCCCTGCAACCTCTGACCTTTTTTTCCTGCCCATCGCATCCCCCTACCCACCTCAATTCTGAGGTTTGTGCTGCCAATTCGAAATCAAATTTTCTTTATCACCGGTTCGGTTTTTCCGAATCAGGTCGAAAGGATGTCCGACTGACTAATAAACAAGTTAACAATGCAGGAAGGCAAGCCTGGCAGGATATTGCGTATACGCAATGTGTTACGTGTGCGTGCCTCGGGGAGAAAGTTTCTACTTTCTCCTCTGGCCCCGGGGTTAATTTCATTTGTCAATATGAAAGCGCAAAAGTGATTTACTTAAGTGTAAACTCATTTTCCACTCAACAGCAGAACAATAACAGCAAAGGCAGCTCCATTCATTGCACTTTGTTTGTGTGCTGCGTGCTGTTGCAAGTTGCCAGTGTCGCAATATTCCTGCCACACAGCGGCAACAACAATGTCCCGCCGCTTTTCACCTTAACAACATAATGGCAATCAACTGATGGAAATGACGCAGCCACAGTTTCCAGGAAGGATTCGAGTGGCTGGCGAAGGGAATTGGAATCGCTGGCTTGGTTGGCGGATGGCGAATGGTGTTGCCCTTGCCATTATTCATTTAAACCTGGGGATTGAGTAAAAAGTGTTGCATTGCCGCACAATCGACAAATAAGCCCTAGGCAATGTGTATTCTTTTCCAACCACCTTTTCCTCGGTTTTCCCTGATTTTCCTTCGATTCCTTTTGCAATTGAGATATTCAGCCACACCCACACAAAGTCTGCGGCTTTCGATTTGTTTGCGATTTAGATATACAAATCGTGTGCCAGCAAAAGGTTGCCGTTTCTTCTGCTTCTCGGAAATTTTCAAGTAAAACAAAATTGCTTTCGATAGACAAATGCAGCATGTGTGTGCTTTTGGATTGTGTGTCTTTATTTTTTATTGAATTGCCCAGATTTGCGCCGAGATAACAATCCACCAGGCCAACGGCAATTGCTCAAGGTATTTATGGGTGCTCAATTTGAATTGCTTGGAAGAAAGCAATTTGTTTTACCAATGAGAGCAGGCCACAAGACATTTTCATAAATAAATTAAAAGAGATTGTCTGAATGGGGATTATTAAACGAACTTTTTTTACAACAATCAATGAGTTTTACTTACAATTCGGACTGCTGACTCTAAGTATTTGAATCAATGATAAGAGCTGCAAATATAAAAAGAAATCCTTATTTAGTAAGATGAGAATTTTTAAACTGCTTTAGTTAGAATCTAAGAAAATACTACTGTTTTTCTAAATCCTTAAAATTCATAAAATAAGACCTTTTTAAACCATTTTACGTTATTTTTTTGTATTATCCATAAAGTTTTATTAAAACTAATATTGTTTTCTTTTTACCAAGCTAGCTGGTTATTTATTCAAATATATTAATTATTTACTTATTTGTATTTTCACTTATTTCTTTCATTTGCTTCCTTTTTAAAGCCAATTGCCAACATTCATTTAGTGAAATACCCAGAAATCTTAAATTTTAATGTCACATCACATTTCCTCGTATTTTTCCCATGTTGTTTCTGTTTTTATTGTTTGCTGGCAGTTACACCATGATTGCCAGACATTGTTGTTGTCGCTGTTGCCTCACCATTTCAGATTACGGCCAGAGTTTAGTTGGCAAACAGGGCTTTTTTTCTCCTAGCTGACACATGCCTACAAGCTTATTTATAATAAAAAATCATACATGAGCGCACAGACAATGAGACAATGGACGGGAATGGTTGGTACAAGCGGAAAAGGGGAGTGGTGGCTGGGATGGCCTGGGATGGGAAACCGGGGGAAAAACAAACAACAACAACGAAAACAGCATATAAAAAATTTCGGTTTGAGGGAAAAATGTGGAAATGAAAGGCTCGGCTCGTCCCGACTCGGCTCTGTCGGGAACTTGGGCTTTTCCTGCCAGGGAATTTCCAGAGCCGTCATTAACTGTTGTGCGTGTGTATGTGTGGGTCTGGAGCCATATAATACAGGGACTCATACAAGCACACCTCATCTAACCATTCATTGACATCATTTGGCATGGTAGATAACATTCAGCCAAGTGCACAAATGCACTGGGAACAATATTTTGGCCAACCAATTTTTGTGAATTAATATTGGGACCGGGTTTTTAAACGCGTTATTCGTGAGGAAAAAAAATTCATTTTTGTTGTCTTTTTTATTTATATGCAGAATAAATTTTTGTAATCGGTCCATTCATTAATTTCTTATCAATTTAAGCTTTTTAATTATTTAAATATTTTAAAAACACATGGCGGGAACACTACTACTATTTTCACCGCATTTGCATGTTTTTACTTTTTATGGTTATGTCGCAATAAATTTATTTCTCCCTTAAGAAAAACCCTAAAATTATTCTGAGTAGGTTGTTTGAAAGATAAAGAGTGTCACTTTTGAAAAACGTGAACATCATGAATCCGTTTGCCCGTGATACATTCGGAAAGTTGGCCAATTTCAGCATTTTTCGAACTTTGAGGTCCTTGTGCTAAGAATCCTTGCGTCGGGGAACTTTTTGGGAAACGCAGTTTAACTTGGGAATTTGAACGAATTTAATCATCCATCGAGGTACATTTTTGATGTTGCATAGTGCAATCAATAGGTAGTAAAATTTAGTTAAAATCTTGAAGTTAGAGGATTTTTTGTGTTGAAAAGGCAGCATTTCCTCCGAGTGTAGTCAGAAATAGCTCGGGCTGCTAGGTAGGTAGGTCAATGGGGTGGCTTGGTGGGTAGTCGGTTCCGGAAGGAGGCGGAAGAAATCCTGCCACCTCTAGCAAGTTGCCCCGCACAACCGAACAATGTAATGAAATTTTCGAAATATCTATGATGATTTGCGGTTGCCATGATTGTCGGCCAGAAGATGCACCCTTCATGCCACTCCTGCCGCCCCTCTGTTCGTATCCTTGTTTCACATATCCTGCCAGGATTGTAGGCCAGGATCCTATCGCACGGCATCGCTTTGCTGACTTGCCCCTTGGTTGGTTTCCTGGCTGGCAAAGTCAAGTGACTGAAGTCACACTTTGGGCTGCCTTTTGCTGTCCTCGGGTCCTTTGAGTCCTTTGAGGCGGCATGCCTGTGTGCCTCTGGCTGCTGGCACTCGTGTGTGGGTGCGCTACTACATTGATTATGATGATATGGAATTTAAAATCATAAATTGCGACTGCTCGTTGATTATATTTTCCAAAGGAACCAGCTAAGCGGGAAAATTCCCCAGAAAATGTGCATTAATAAATTGGATTTGAAAAATTGAAGATGGCTTAAAACATGAAAAATTTAGTGGTATTCGCCTATAATACCTATCAACCAGCTTCAGTTGCGCATACTTATATTTGTCACGGTATTATTATTTTCACTATTATTTCAACAGCTAAATGACACAAAGGTTTCAGTGAAAATCCTTTGACCGTGGAGTTTTATTATTCGAAAAATGAATGATAAAAGCGGGTATAGACCATACTATTAAGTTACACCGCACTCGGATGATGGCACTCATAGTTATTCAAATCAGCGTTGATGAAGTGGAAGCCAGCAAGGAGAAGCCTCTAACTATTGTAATCTGAAACGTGTTTTTAATGGCATTTTCATTTCTTCACATTCCCAACTTTTTTTTGTATCTTGTTGTTGTGCATTTTCAATATTTACTTCACTGGCCAAGCCTCGAAATGGGCGTAAATTCAAACTGACAGCAGACAATAATTGTATTATTTATGGTGATGACGATGGCGAAAAGGAGTGGGGGAAACGAGACTTTACTCCACGCCCCACTATTCTGGGGCTTCCCAAAAAGTTGTAAGGGAATTATTGTGAAATTTGTGGGAAATATAACGAATATGCGCATTCGCAATGCGATGAGTCCGGGTGTATGAAAATGTCTGAGAGTTTTGTCGCATGCAAACATAAATTTTTGTGTGCCATGCAAAATAACGTAATAACATTAAATATGCAAATGCCTTTTGTCAGCCATTGCATTTGCACATGACAAACAGTGGAAAAAGGGGCGTGACAGCGGGCGGGCATACACATTTACTTGTATTTGTATTCATTCATGACGATTGCAGAAGGAATGAAATGGCGGAAAAGCGGGAAATGTGGGAAAAAGGAAAAGGAGAGCGGCAGAGCCGTCGACTTCATCACACATTTTGCAATTTGCATAAAGTGAAAATGATGCACATTTCTGTTTTCCTACGACAATTTGCCTTTTATTGATTTTCTTTGATTTCCTTCACTCAGACTCAGATCGCACAGTCAAGGCCTCCACTTTCCTCTACCCACCCGAATTTTCCCCATATCCCACGCAATTTCCATGCCCAAAGAAGCTCTCTTCAAGAGTCCCCGACGACTCTACATGTGTTTTGAATGACGTTGAGTGCTGCTATGCAAACATTTTCTAACGAACACTTAGTGCAAATAGATTCGAGGGCTGCCAGCTCATGTGAAGTTTCCCATTTCCCCGTCCCATTTTCCACTTGCTACTCTGCACACTCTATGCCATCTTAGCCAACTTTTTCTCGGTTCTCTTAGCCATTTTTTAGTGCATGCCAATTACTTCTTATTTTACGCTGCAGCTGCATCAGCATGGAGTCTTTCAATTTCATTAAAATTCCAAACAATTACATTTAAGCTGACACTATGCACTGTCTGGGATTTTATTTACATGTGAGCCGGTTGAGCCAATCAATTTATATGGGTTTTACACAGAGAAAATCCTTTTAGGAAATATTTTTTAAATGTCTTTAATTTACGCTTGTGAAGTTTTTAATTGTTATTTATTCAAAATTTATGTTCCTGTGTAAATGTTTAATTTTAATATTTGACAAAACTAGGAATAATCGGAAAAAAAACATTTTAAAACAAGAGAGAACCCTATAGTCGGGTTGGTGTCCCGACTATCTAATAATCGAGTGCGAGGGAGACAGATATATAACAATATTTATTGCGTATAACTTTTTCATGAATGATCCGATTTGAAATATGTCTTTTACATTTCGATAGGTATAAATATACCCAACAAAATTGCATTTATACTTCTCGGATATCCTTAAAGATGTGGGCGCAGGACAAATTTTAAAATCGTTAGTGGGCGAGGCCCAAGAATATGTGTGGAAAATCTTTACGTTCTAGCATTTGTGGTTTCCGAGATCTCAGCGTTCATACGGATAGACAGACGGACATGGCTAGATCGACTCGGCTAGTGACCCTGACCAAGAATATATATACTTTATGGGGTCGGAAACGCTTCCTTCTAGCTGTTACATACTTTTTCACGAATACAATATACCCTTTTTGAATTAAAGTTTATCAAAATCGGACGACTATATCATATACCTGTCATAGGAACGATTCTAAAATTAATGGGAATATAATAGGAAATAACTTATTGCTTCGTTATTTTTTATTGTATACAATAATAATAATAAATAAATAAATTTGATGACCAAAGGAAAATAAGTTCTACATCTTTCATCTTTAAAAATGAAAATACCTAGAGTACTCGAAATGTAATCTCTGAAGTGCCTTAACCCCTGATTAATCAGGCAGCTTATCCAGTCACACGAATTAATAACTTTGCCAACAGTGTAGAGCAATTAAAAAAGGCCAATTCCGAGCTCTCAAAGCGTTTTGAAGTTTGTCAGAACTCAGTCACTTCCGCTGGATTCCTCCGCTGTGTGCGGAAAACTTGTCCCATTGGACTGCCAGCAAAGTTTGCCATATCACCAAGAGCCACATCAATTGACTGGCTGTCCGCCGTGGCATTTTCCACATTTTCCCTCTGGCAACTGCTACACATATTGGTCAATAAAGTGCGCTCAAAATATTTTCCACAACTTGTGCACTTTACCTATCACACAAGCTGAAGTTCGGGCTCTGTCCCGCGCTATTCCCTTCGAGATTTGTTGTTAATTTTTGGGTAAATTTGTCGAAAATGTTTCGGTCCCCATCCCGAACCTCTCTGGTGATTCCATTCAGTTCTTGGCACATGCTCTGTGCACTTTTGCAACTGGTGTTGCATACTCGCACTTCTGTGGCAAACTTTTAATTGATTCAATCGCCTGTGCATATTTTCGGTTGACTTCAGTTTGGTTTGGCACAGACCAAAAAACTTAAATCATGTTTTCTTAGATTTACCAAATCGATTTAGACGAATTTAAATAATT